ATACATATAGATATCGTAGGCCCTCTGCCGCCTTCGAAAGGATTTCGATATTGCCTGACAATGATCGACAGGACCACCAGATGACCGGAGGCAACACCGATTCCAGATTGTACAGCAGATACGGTAACCGACGCCTTCTTTAACACATGGATTTCGAGATACGGAGCACCCGCAATAATCACCACAGACAGAGGAGCACAATTTGAATCGGCACTCTTCGACGCATTGGTCAAACTGATAGGGAGCACAAGGATTAGAACCACCGCCTATCATCCGCAAGCCAATGGAATGATAGAGAGGTGGCACCGTTCATTGAAGTCAGCGATTAAATGTCACAACACACAAAATTGGGCAGAAGTTTTACCTATGGTACTACTGGGACTACGAACGAGTTATAAAGAAGACATTCAAGCATTAGCCGCAGAATTGGTATATGGAAGCACCCTAAAACTACCCGGAGAATACTTCACCTTTGAGGACCCAATCGGACATCCACAAATATTCGCAGAAAAGTTAAGAGAACGAATACGCCAGACACGGAAACCCGTCGCAGATCATCACACCAAGAGAAAGACATTTATACACAAGGACTTGGAAAGTGCCACACACGTATTCGTACGAGTCGACCGTCCCAGAGGACCTTTGGAGCTGCCCTACGAGGGGCCATTCCGAATTATAAAAAGAAATTCTGATTTCCTTTACAGGGTCGATTACAAGGGACAACCGGAGGAAATTAACATAGATAGGCTCAAACCCGCTTTTATCGAGGGAGCGGAAGAAGAAGTGACATCCCCCAGCAGCATAGACGACCAACCAGGGCCGTCAGAGACACCTAGTCAGAGGAGCAAAAGACAGCAGGAACGAAAAATTCAGTTCGTGACTCGACACACGAGTCACTAGAAGGGGAGTGATGTGGCGTTTGACTTGTCCAAACGCACCAGTCCAAAGCAACTTGTCCAATTCCCTGGACAAGACGAACGATGGCAACACCGGACATAGAGGAACGCATCTACACTCTCTATGGTCCTTGTTCGTTCTCCCGCTGCTTCTCCAAAAAGACAGACTAGTCATCGCCGATATAAAATCGTTATATGTAACGTTATCTTATTCGTAATTAGTGAATAATATTTGTTATGATTTTGTAAGTCGTGCTATCCGTTATCCTTACGTTAACCTTACGAAGAATCGTGCCTAGGGTAAGAAACAATACCCGAGCGGTACGTTCGGGAACACG